CAATGCACAGACATCCACCAAAGAAAACGAAAATGTGCGAAAGCCTGAAGATCTGGAGCGAGCCTTCGAGGTGCTGCGCACGACGCTTCCCAAGCTGTTTGTGGAACCGCTGGACTATTCCATATACAGCCCACACCTCATATTTGAGAACAACATCACCGGCAAGCACACAGTCGGTCTCTACCACTTTGTCAAGCAAATTGCCATTCTCCGCACTGTGGGCCACTTGAAGTATGCCTACGTGAAGTTTGAGGTTCTCAAAATCACAAAACATCCCGACGACCAAACCGTGCGCATTAGGTGGCGCGTGAGGGGCATTTCCGGGCTCAAGGTGATGTTCCAGTTCTGGAAATACAAGGTGTGGCAGCTGAAGGAAGTGCTGCGGGATCAGGAATCGTGGTACGATGGATTTTCCATATGCTACCTGGGAGATGGTGGTCTAATAGAGAAACATGTCGTTGACAAAGTCATGCCAGATGAAAGCCGGGAGTCTGTTAAAAATACCTCTGAAACATCGCTCCCAACCGAGTCCTTGGCAGCGACAGCAACACAGAAACTGAGTTGTCAATGAAATTGTGGCTAGTTCTAAATGTTACTTATTTATTGCATTATTTTACATAATAAACAGCAACTGTGAAGATGTTTAGTAACTGCATTTTAGTTTCTGTTTTTGTACAAAATCATTTCCAAAATCTATCTCACTGCTTGAACGCGTATACGGAACCCTTTTTTATGTACTTATATGGACGCAATCGGCAGCGTTTGGCGAACGCACTTATATAAGGCTTTTCCTTGTTGTACTCTATGTTGGTCTGCATCGAGCCCTCTGTCTCCAGGAATATGTCGAAACTATAAATGGTACGGAAAAGCTGAGCGTAGAGGAAACGATCGTTTGCTTCCAGCTGTTTGGGCTGTAGGGAGTTTGTCCAGTATTCCATCATCTAGAAAAAGATAAGCACTTGGATATAATCTCGTGACGCATGAAAGTTGCAAGACACTACTAACCTTGATGGCTGAATTATTCTGCGATGTGTGGCGACCGTTCCAATGTACGCTCAATATCCAGAGAGGCATTTCCAGTGGATAGTTGCTCGGTATACGAATGAAACACTCCATCTTGGCAGAGCCTCGCACAATCACGGCACGATAGGAATTATATGTAATGCCCTTATCGTCTGGCGAAATGTTTAGTACGTCCGAATTTTGGGCCAGGAATTCCTCGAGAGTGATCGCCGTCCACTGCACGAGGCTGCAAGACAAGGCCGCAGGATAGACATTCTCCTTGAGGGTGAACAAATCGATATCCTTGTTGGTCAGACCACGTATTTGCTGACTCAGCTTTAACCAGGCGTTCCAACGCCGCTTGATGCGAGCTATGATCTCCCGCATGCTTTTGTTCAGGTTTAACTCATGCTTGTACAACATCGAGCTGTCGACTGTTGGTATGGAGCACATGCTCTGTAGCCAACAATATGCCTTACCAAAGTCCTTGGACTCCAGATAACGTATGCACTGCTCGGGTGTCAGATCCTTGTTCTGCAACTGAAGTTAAATAATTAAGTACGAGCAGAATAATCATTGCTTTGCCTTACATCATATTGGATGCCGGGTATGGGTATTTCATTGCCCAAATCGTTTGCAAACAAATGCCGAAGGAGATGCTGAACGAAATTGGTATCACTAAAGACATGAAAAGTATTCAAATTAGTCACTGATTAATTAAATCACTAACAAAAACTCACCCTTGATGGTTTGTGTTGTTGGAAACACTCAATTGGGGCCAGACTGTGGTACATTTAAGTAGATCGAAATAGCGAATAAGCAACACCAGTTGAATCGAGCCACTAGCGCCAAGCTAAACCACATATAAACATTAGGTTTGGCTGCAATATATTGTCGAGATCTTTGACCTAATCTTACCGTAACACGAATGTGCAGAGGATGAGGATTTAAAGCCTTGTCCAATGGATTTTCCACAGACGTCAACTTTCGTGACAATTCAATGTCCTTTTCAGAATAATCGCGCCTTGCTGTTGGCATTTGCTTCAGATTGGTCAACTCCTGCATTTGAGCTTCGCTTTCATAACCTACCACTTCAGCATTGAACGATGGCTCATCGCTCGCCCGCTGAAGGCTTTGCAGATTGATAAACAATATGTAAAGTGGCTTGGGCAGATATTTGACCACAGCGCTAAGCTTCCATTCAACGTCCAGAGATAGCTGCAGTGCATCATGCAGCGGCTTCGTGGCACCCTTCAGTGTGCGTAGAGCTGGGGCGAACGAAACGTATCTCTGATTTTGGTTAAGATTCTCTTGCAGCAGCTCTTGTTTGGAGCTCAACAAGAAGCTATACTGTTTATCCAGGTCTTTCCTTAGACGCAGTTCACACTCTAAGCGCTGCAAGTGTTTGAGGTGCTTGGATTCTGGCTCCGATTTACTCTCTGCAATGCTCGGCAGCTTGGTAGCATACTCGGTATCTGGGAGCAGATCCAAGTCGGAGTCACGACTCTTGAATTTCTCGCAACGGACAATGTCCTTTTTCAAGTGGCTTACTTCGTACAGAAGATTTTGCAATTGCAAGCGACTTATGTCCACTTTACATTTCTCCAAGTGTAGGTTATCCCGTCCAGACTTTATTTTATGTTTCACTTCCCGATTGGCATGCTTTAGTGCAACAAATTTTAAAGCCGCTGCAGTGCGCAATGTCTCCGAGTTGTGGCCCTGCATCAAAAATAATGAATTACCAGTGTCTGTGCAGCTTGTAAGCACTTACGCTCTTCTTGACCTTTAATATTTCCCCGATGATATCTTCCAGTTGCTGGAACTGCGTATTTAAAATGGCCTCCATCTTTTTTAAAACAAATCAAATTTTCTTTTTGGCAGGCCAGAAAAAAATTATTTTAGTGCTGGCTGCAAAACAAACGCTGGCACTATCGATGTTTTCATCGACTATCGATTGGTTTGACAGGCGAACGAATGGGTGTGCTACTACACTTAAAAATAATCTAGTCTGCATTGCTCCCATCACTCACATGCACTTCAAAGCGGCTTTGTAAATAAAATAAATAAGATAAAAACAATTTGAATTTGTTAAATAATATTGTTTAAACATTGAGATATTTTGAAACCACAAAATGCTACGAATGCTGCAAAAGAGAACGAGCATGATAAAACTCATGGTGCCCAGACCCCGGCTGCATCAAACTATTGCGCAAACCACAATAAAGGCAAGATACATAAATGTTTAATTAATGTTTATATTAAACTACCTTCCATTGCAACCCACATCCTGTAGGAAATACCAACAATTAAACATGCTACTATATCAAATAGCGAGAAAACTGTGGGAAGATGGTTTCTGGGAGTCAGCGGCATGGTTTTTGTTGCTGTTGGACTTGGTAGGGAAATTCTTTTGACTATTTACAACATTCATATTATGACCCTTCCTTCCATGCAGGTGGTGTAACAAGATTAACAGAGTCTGGTCTTTCTATGGTTACCTGGAAGCTGACTGGAGAACGCATGCCGCGAACTCAGGAAGATTGGGTCCAAGAATTCACAAAGTATCAGCAATATCCGGAATATAAACTGCAAGTATTAAAGGCAGTCGGCTATTACATAAACTGCTAATGATTCAACTATTTGTTTATAGGAAAAATGCAAACATGACGGTTGAAGAGTTCAAATTTATATACCTCATGGAGTACATACATAGAATGTGGGGTCGTGCCATTGGCGGATTCTTCCTTGTCCCGGCAGCATATTTTTGGAAGAAAGGATATTTTTGTGCAAAAACCAAGAAGAGTGTGCTACTGCTGGGCACTCTGATTGGTCTCCAAGGGCTAATGGGTTGGTACATGGTTAAATCCGGATTGGAGAACAGGTTCGAGGACCCAAATGACGTGCCGCGCGTCTCTCAATACAGATTGGCTTCCCATCTGGCAGCAGCATTTGTGTTGTACTCCCTTTCACTATCACAAGCAATGTCCAAGCTATTCCCCGCGGAGCCCTTCGTGGTGAAAGCAAAGAAAGCTTTCAATATCAAAGGACTGTCACACATGACCAAGGGAATGGTGTTTCTCACAGCCATCTCTGGCGCCTTTGTGGCCGGACTTGACGCCGGATTGGTTTACAATTCATTCCCGAAAATGGGAGACAGCTGGATACCCGATGATATGTGGCAGTTTAAGCCCGTGCAAAGGAACATCACTGAAAACCCAACGACGGTTCAGTTTAATCATCGCATTCTGGGCATCACCACTGTTTCCTTAGCTACAGCCCTCTGGCTAGTCACGCGACGCATGCAGCTGCCAAAGCGAACAAATTGGGCAATCAATGCTGTCTTCGCCATGGCGTGGACACAGGCTACACTGGGCGTTACGACACTTCTGACCTACGTGCCAGTACCTTTAGCGACAGCTCATCAGTCTGGATCGCTAGTCCTGCTTAGCTTTGCGCTGTGGCTATCACACGAGATTCGGTTCCTGAAGTATTTGCCCAAGTGAAACTCCAATGAACTGAACCAAGCATTTGATTTGTTAAATGTGTAAGTTAATAAAGTTTTTCAGTCCAAAAAAGAGGTTCAATGTGTAATAGCAACAATCATTTAATTCATCCTTATTCAATATTCATTTTTACACTCTTTTTCTCATCATTGATCTGATTGTATTCAATGTTGTTGGTATTGAGACAAGAACCAACGTTTTTTACATGTGCCGACGAAGACTCGATGCTGGATTGGTTTGAGCTGGAAACATGATTGTACACTGCCAGTGCTTGCGCCACAAATCCATTAACATCTGCGGCATTAGACGGCAAGATCATGGTGTTATTCGTTTTGGCCAATTTCTTAAACGCTCCAATATATTGCTCGGCTAGTGTGAGGGAAGCAGCATTCTTTCCGTCCTGAAAAAAGAGTTTTGTTTAATGAAAACAACAAAAAACCATTAAAAAAATATATTTTTTGTGTTGGCAATTAACTAAAAAACTGTTGTCCATCATAATATACCAAAAGTTCAACGAAATTCGCGGCGTTTAATGTTAAATAAACATTTCAAAATTGTGTACTCATGAATTTAGACTTTATCGTATGTTGGAGTAAAGGCTCAGTGGTGATCGTGGTTCAATGTGATCTTTTCGTTGGGTAAATACATTCCAGAAGCGAAGTGTCTCGTCACCGCCGCCTGTTACCACTGATTTGCTGTCTGGGCTTACAGCCAGATAGATCACACGGCGGTTGTGGCCCGACAGGTTAGCAACTTGCTTCAGGGAGGGATAGCGCCACACCACAATCTGTGGCTGTCCGAATCCATGAGTGGTAACGAGTTCAGGGGAGTTACGGGACCATGCCAAGTTACTGATTTGTGCTCCGGTGTCAACGGATTGCACCATCTCACCGCTAACCACGTTCCAGAAGCGAAGGCAACGATCGGCTGTGCCACCGCCACTGGCCAAGAGTCCGGCCTTGTGCGGAGACCAGCCCAGAGCCTTCACGGCGGCAGTGTGTTCGGTAAAGGTGTGAAGTGGCTTAGGACTTCTAGCCGTCCATATGAGCAAACGAGTGTCATTGCCTCCGCTGGCCAGATACTCCCACGTGGGAGACCATTGCAAGCCGCAAACCTCCTGACTGTGGCCCTGCAAGCAGCTGGATATGGTATTGGTGCGGATATCTCGCTGCAAAATGGTCCGATCACGGGAGCCGCTCGTCAAACTGTTGCCTCGCCAGTCCAATGCTGTGACACGGGATAAATGTCCGTCTAGGTTGGAAATCAGTTTCTCATAGTCGACATCCCAGATGCCTACGGAGCCATGATTTGTGCCAAAAGCTAATTCGTTTCCTCCGCTGTGCCACTTGACAGATGTTATCATATTATCTTCGTCGCTAAGGTCACACAAGCATGTTACTTCAGAGTTGACTGCACTCCAGAGGTAGAGAGAACAACCAAGGCCAACACCAAGCATGTCCTTCGACGACCAGTCCAGGGCGTTCAAGTAAAAGTCATCCTGTAGGTCGGGGGCGTCCAGAACCTTATAGGGAAGCCGAGCTACCCGTCGCACAGCGCTTCTGGGACTGCCCAGCAGCCTAGTACTGTACTCGCTTAGCCTTGAGAATGGGTGGCGCACGTTCCTATTCGTTGGAGAGTGATTTCCATATCCGAAAAGACGAATATTTTCCTTTTCTGTAAAATCGCCCGTATCCAAAAGAATATTTTTACTTCGCCTGCAATCATTGATTGTGGAAACCTCCGAGTCTAGCAGCTCGTTTCGCAGCAGACATGCATAGGGGGAGTTGTGTAGCTGTTCCGCACGAACCGGATTTGGATCCTCCGTCAAAGAATAGTTTCGGGCCCAATTGTTTCTGGCGCGTGATGGAATGCAGCGCAACTCCAACTGCTCTCGACCAGTGGCTCCCGGTATCCCTAATCCCTCAAGCAGTCGTTTTTCATACTCCGGTTGGAACATTACTTAATTTGTAGTTTTGTGTTTTTTGCGTTTTGTTTGTTTTTTTTACGTTTGTTTTTGTGACTATCCCTATGTGAGTGTCTAGTTGTAAAAAGGGTGTTTTGTATACTTACAATATGTGCCAGAGATTTTGCTATGGCCTGCAGGCTGCGAGCTCTTGCATCTGCCACGGCAATAATGGCAGCTGCCTCACCGCTCGCCTTGTTTATATGCTCCTGCCGTTCAGCCTCTGCAAAGAAGGAAACCAAGGAATTTGGTACGCTAAAATCACACAGTGGCTTATGCATATATCCTACCAGATGCCAGGATTCTGGACTTTCTTTTGCCTTCGGCAATATTAATTTCGGCCTCGCGAACACCTTCCGACTCCAAAATGGCAGCTCTTTTCCTCCTTTCCGCCTCGACTTGCATTTGCATTGCTTCATGTACTCTCGATGGCAGCTGTGCAGACAAATTATAAGTTTAAATTGTATTTTAGCTGACGCTAATTCCTTATACTCACACGTATGTCACGAATTTCGTAGCGCAGGCAGGCAATGCCCCACGCTTCGCTTGCCTTGTTGATTGAATCGACAATGCTGACGTTCAGGGATTCCCTCTCGCGAAATACCTTGTCCAATGACATTTTTCCCAGTTCGGACCTCATTGTGGTTTGGGCGAGTTGCGTTATGGCGAACTCAGGATCCTCCACACCGTAAGAAGCTTAGAAATGATATAACAAGGTAAATACCCACACACACACGCACGCACGCACGCACGCAGGCACGGCACACAAAGCGATGGGGAACTAACCTCTGTATGGATCAATGATCCGCAAGTAAAGCACTCCATCGATGTCAAGTGTGACATTGTCGGATGTGATGGCGCTCTGTTTTGGAACGTCTATCGCAATTTCCTTCAGGCTCTGGACATATTTGATTTTGTCCGCAACGGGAACCAAAACATTGAGGCCAGGGTCCAGAATTCTATGAAATTTACCCATTCGCTCGACTACCCAGGCCTTGTTAATTATATTTATATTATATATATTATATTTATAAGATAGGTCAAGTATTATCCAACATCAGAACATACCTCTTGTTGTGGTACAAACATTACAACAGTGTTCATGGGAGTCGAGGTCTTTCCTCGGCGGAACTGCGTGGAAATCCATGAGCCGGCATGCAGGAAATCTTGCTGTAAAACGTCAATACATTAATTCCAAATCAAACTTTTGTACTGGCTGCAGTCCAGCAAACCTGGGGCATCAGTCTCCGCGACGATAAGAGAAATCTGGACATTTTTAAACAATTTAATGGGCAAAATCTTAAGATTTTGATAAAAAATAAAGCAAAACAGACTAAGTATAAGTGTGACTGCGGATTTATTGATCAAATATACCGTCCGACCATCAAAAATATACCACAAATAATATACGTTCACACGTACTATACCGTAATCTTATCTCATATTCTTCGATTGTAATGTTCTATTTAATATTACTAGCTTGAAAAGACTTTTAACACTGAAAAAAAATTTTAATCAGTTTGAAGAGTCAATTTGGCTTATTTAAATACTCTCTTTCAAATTTTTTATTCAAGTCATCACTTCTGTAAGGGAGCATGGAAGCTTCTCCTTTAGTATGTAAATGTGTGTAAAATATAAAAGGAGACACATGGATGTTAACTGATATCATTGAAAATTATTTAAAGATAGTGCGGGCATTTTCTGTCTTTTGCAAAGAAAGATGAGAAGTTATGGAAAAATCATCATTACTTACCTTTGAATACAATGAATGAGCTCCTCTACCGATAGTTTGACATATTCAGGTAATAAAAAACTTGAAAGCCTTCAATTCAAAATATAGCTAGCTGCGCGCGCCGTTGATGGTCAGGGAAATTCTCTCCTGCCAGACGCTCTCCAGTGCTTATTTTTAAGTTTCAAATTTGAGAAAAGAAATAGACTAGAAATAAACCAAAAATAATATACGTGCACACTTACGTATACCGTAAATCTTAAATCATTTCCTCGATTTAGATCTTCTGTTTAATATTACCAGCTAGTTAGTAGACTCTGCCCTAAAAACATAATTTTATTCAATTTATCAATCAGTTCTCCACAAGATTGGTTAGTTTTCTCGACTTCCATTTGTTAGAATGTTAACAAATTAAGCTTAAAACGAAAAAGGCCAAACAATAAAGAGCAATAGACTTAGCTAAGTGAACTAGCTTAGACCACTTGAACCCCTCCTAAGCACATGAGCCACTTGAGTTCATAATAATGTACAATTATATTCCTTGATTTTGATATTCAATTAAATATTACTAACTAACCAGAACTCCCAGCACTTAACACATTATTTTATCCTTCAGAAGAATCAATTATATTCAATCGATCTTATTTTAACGACTCCCTTTTTATTGGGTTGTTGATAAAATAAGCTTTGAACCAAAAGGGCAGTAAGCGTCAGTGTGCGTGAAATTAAACATAATGTGATAGAATGTTATGTCATTTGTGCACTTGTTGCTTTGAAAGTATATTACCAACATTGGATTTTTATATTTTTATATCTATTTCCTTTTTTTATATATCCTATGCATGCTTTGAAGCCTGCTAAAAGAGGGCTATGTGACATAGAATTGAACAATTACCTTACTACCTCTAGAAAAAATAGTATAAGACCCACATTTCCATTGATCCACGGCTGAAACAGGATAACGGTGAAGATGGCAAACAGGCGTATCATCCAGTTGATAGACGAGCTGGATAGGGTTGCCTCACATAGCGCTTTAGGTGCTACAGCACGAACGACGTGGTGCAAGGCAGGGCTAGAATCTTGATACCTTTGTGGAGGGGGTAACGCTGTGAGTCGCTGCCATTAGAAATTTGGCAACTGTAAGTCACTTCAGCAGGTATATCGCAGGGAAACACTTTTAGTAATTATAGTCTGATTTAAGTACATACCTACACACATATGTACATATGTATGTGCATTTATCTATGTACGTTAGTTGGTCGGAAACGTATCCTTGTGCGCCTTCCTTAAATGTTTAGAGTAATACCATAATACTTTTGTATGAAAGTTGCTCAAGTGTTTGAGCCGACTCTGAAGATGTCAAGATGAATGTATCTGAAAAGCCATATATAGCCGTATGTATATATATTCCTTTAAAAGCAGTCGCACAGTTTAATTCAATAGTCCAAATGTGCAACACACACTCGGAGATAATTCAGTTAACAACCAAAAGAAATGAATTCTGTAAAGGCAACTCAAACTGTACTATAGCACAAATTAAAACTAAATATAATGAAATTGAGCATATGGTTTGAATGCACGTATGTTTGCTGAAATCTTGACACCACTACTGTTCTGTTTGTTGGAGTATTTACCACAAATTATTTGAAATATGGTGCAAGTGACGCATTAAGAGCATAAAGGAAACCACACAACTAAGCTGTTAATAGTGGGTGCGTTTACATGGGGCTCCTAGCGGTCGGAAGCTATCGTTACTTTGTGCGTTTCCGTTCCCGCACCCTGCTTTGATTTTGTGGACACGGAGCCAGCACCAGACCAGTATAAAACGAACACGGGACTGACAGAATCGCACAGTCTTCTTTCACACTCCAAGGAGTATAGTTTTACCAACTAAAGTTTCATCGGACTAGGTCTACAATTGAGAATATGAATCTACTTATGGTGTTGGTGATTGTGACAACGGTCTTGAACATTATAAAAGCAGCACCCAGCAGCGTGGTATGTATTTTCAATTGGTTAAAGCTTAAAACAATAGAAATGTTTTTAAGTCGGTTGAAATGGAATGAAATGAGACTTAAAATGAATCCTCCACTTGTTTATTTCAGGACATAAGTAATGACGAATTGTTGGATGGAAAATATCTATGTGAAGGTAAAAGAAATTCTAAATCTAAAATCTAGATATGTAAATACGAATGCTATCTGCCAGATATAGACAGAACACATCATTATATTACTCATTGACCGGCATCCGAAACTATATCCAAAAACGTTTTAATTATTTTTGAATTTTTATTATTTTGGCCAGATCGTTCAGCTTTAAAGCAATATGGCAACAGCCGCATAAGCGATGACATTTCCACCAATTCATCACCATTTTTAAATGAATTTTACAACAGTTTCTTACGAAGCATTTTGCTCACAAAGAATAAAAACTTTGAAACTCTGTCTGAGAGGATGTCGCGTGCAATGTCTAAGCGTAATTTAGACAGCATTGGTGGAGGACATCTAATCAAGAGGAGTGATAGCAGCAGACTGCTAAGCGCCTAAGGTTTTATAGCATTTGCATACCGTAACTGACCGCACCATCGATTACAGCCTCGCAATGTGTATATGATTTGACTGTCAAGTGTAAATAATGTAAGGGATATTTATTTGATGTGTACATATCAAAGGATGTTAATAAATTATTGCATTTATATATATAGTTTTTTAATTTGTACAATATATTTATGCCGTAATACTCCAATATTTTAGATTCCGGAGCATGTAAGAGGAAAAGCAAAACATGGCTTATGGCGCGAATATTCATTTTATTTTTTCTAAAACACAGCCTTAATAATTATATTTTCTCTTTTACAAGCCGGATCAAAAAAATATGATGGACCTTTTCTCGTAAGGTGAGTGATTAGATCTAGACCCATTTTGTTTCTCTGCACTTCTGCAACTTCTAAAACCATCAACAAAAGTAGGATTATTTTCTCAACGACAGAGGAACCGTTCGTTCTGTCCGTTCGAACCAACGATTCAGCTGTGTATTACACATGAAAGATCCAGTAAAATAACATATGCACGGTTAATAGTAGCTGTCCAACGGAGTTATCAAATATTAAAGATTAAACTGCTGTTATCAGGTCTTATCCGAATGTTATCGAAACAAATGCAGTATACACATCAATACATACATACACACATGTGCATACATATGTATATGTAGATAACAGATCCATCCATTGAAACCTTCTATCTTCAAAGGTCTAGAAACTATTCAGTGCTAAAATGCAACTTATTGATTTCTATGCAAGTTTAAACATTTTCTTTCCATTACAGATTAATAGCTGCCCCAAACGGGCAAACTGTCGTC